TTTGATGGAGATGCCCATCAATTCCTATTAGTCTATCAATTAAAAATCAGTTTCAAATTATTTTCAGCTGCCATGGGAAATAGAAACAAGAAATCAAGGAAAGCATTAAAAAGGTAAGAAATAATAAAAAAGTAGAGTAAATCACAACTCAGAAAACTTACGGGGTGCAAGGCTTGTGACTTATCAATACCTGTAGTTGGCAAAAACAAGTAAGACTTAGAACACATCAGTTAAGATTCTTGCAAAAGCAAATTAAAGCCTCTCTGCATAGAATGGAAGTAGGGATTTAATTGCAGATCCACAGTCTAAAAGCGGAAGACTACTGCTTCACTTGAAGCAGAAGGCTAATACTTCCCTTTAAAAAAGGCTTTCAAATCTTGTAACAATTTTTGGTAAACTACTTTTTATGCTTCACTGTGCAAATAATTCTGTTTACTTCCTTGCAGGTGCTAACCCACAATTTCAACACACACAGTCTCTTTTTCAGTCCTCCTACAGACTAAGTGCTTGCCTTCAACATTCAATTTATCATTACCATTTTGCAGAAAAAATAATATGCGATACACTGGTTGCTCACAACACAATGTAGTTCTGGGAGATAAAGGAGAGAGCAGCTGCAATCTGACAATACAGTTTGGCAAGCAGTCTATTTACAAATAGTTATATATTTATACTCTACTTATGGAATCACAGTAGCTAAATACATGTTGCACATGAGCATATAATATATACAATTTATTAAGTACCTGACCAATTTTTATGCATTACACAAGAAAAAAGCAACAAAACTAGAAGAAGGTGGTAAACACATGCAAAGAAAGTCAATTGCTTTTTCTATTTCTAACTTACTGGTTTATGCATTTCATAGATTATAAAGCACTAGGCTTTTACTCAGTGAAAAGGCTGCCAGTTTCTCAGTGTTTAAAAATAAAGATATCCTTGCCTTTAACATGCCATTACTACAACTCAGCCAGTTAAATCTTACCTGTCCATCTAAAAACTAAGATCAGATATTGTAGTGTTTACATAATTAACTTCTGATCATTTGCAAATATGGTAACCTTATGCCATTATTGCACTGAGAACGACAGAAGTCATTCAGAATAAAGCCTCAAGTCAAGACGTTTTTTACAAAACCAAGTGCTCCACCAGACAGGCACCCATGCCAGGCCTCACTGCCATCGAAAATCATCTTTGTAGATCCAATAGCAACACTGGCATGATCTGACTCTCAGACATTTTAAGTTACCAGGATAACTAGGAGTGGAAGAGGTCGAAGTCAGACAGCATGACTACCAGTATCTCTCATTAAAACCGGTATTCCCACAGAGCTATCATGGTTAGAAATAAATACATATCATGCAGGTATTATGGTGGCAAATAATCTTACAAAAATGATGATGTAAGATCAGGAAGTGAAGCAGCTGCTATGCAGAAACTAAACTACTGAGACTAAATATATCTCACATTTTGTAGAAAATTATAAACATTTAATTTGGGGGGGGTTGGGGGTTGTGTTTTGGGGGTTTTTTTTTGGGGGGGTT